TTAAAAACTAGTAGTATAATACACCATTATTTGTTTACCAAATAAAAAAGATTGAGAAAGTATCTTCAAAAAAATTAACGATAAATGAGTATTCATACATAGTCATATAATATTAATCATTATAATTAAAACTTCTGCACAATTTTCATTGGCACTTCACACCAGCAAACTGGTGCACTACTTGTATTATACTTCAAAATTAATATTGTAATAATTGATTTCTATATCAATACTTCACCATATATTTTATACACAACTCACTGAAAAATGCAGTATAATAGTACTTAAAGAGTAATAATGCAGGATGTTCCACAGTAAATGTTTCTAATACATATTTATACACAATAAATTAAAACATGTCACTCACTGGTTCTGTATGTTGAATATTAACAACATCACCGATAACACCACTGTCAATCAATTCCTAGAGGGGAAGAAAAATCAATATATATTGGTTACTGGATTTTCAGACAGTAAATCTGCATCCTAGACAGTTTTAAAATCATATACATGAACATCCAGCTAGTGTACACTAAAGATACAAATGAAGGAAACCACACCAATGCCTAGAATAACAGCACTATGTCTTACCTTGATTTTCCTTATCTAAGGTAAATACCAGTTACCACTAAAACCAATCACACCAATGCCTGGAATGGCAGCACTATGTCTTACCTTGATTTTCCTTACCTAAGGTAAATACAACATGTACCAGTTACCACTAAAACCAATCTCACCAATGCCTGGAATGGCAGCACTATGTCTTACCCTTGATTTTCCTTACCTAAGGTAAATACCAGTTACCACTAAAACCAATCTCACCAATGCCTGGAATGGCAGCACTATGTCTTACCTTGATTTTCCTTACCCAAGGTAAATACCAGTTACCACTAAAACCAATCTCACCAATGCCTGGAATGGCAGCACTATGTCTTATCTTGATTTTCCTTACCTAAGGTAAATACCAGTTACCACTAAAACCAATCTCACCAATGCCTGGAATGGCAGCACTATGTCTTACCTTGATTTTCGTTACCCAAGGTAAATATCAGTTACCACTAAAACCAATCTCACCAATGCCTGGAATGGCAGCACTATGTCTTATCTTGATTTTCCTTACCCAAGGTAAATACCAGTTACCACTAAAACCCATCTTACCAATGTCTAGAATGGCAGCACTATGTCTTACCTTGATTTTCCTTACCTAAGGTAAATACCAGTTACCACTAAACCCAATCTCACCAATGCCAGGAATGGCAGCACTATGTCTTATCTTGATTTTCCTTACCCAAGGTAAATACCAGTTACCACTAAAACCAATCTTACCAATGCCTGAATGGCAGCACTATGTCTTACCTTGATTTTCTTTACCCATCCTGCATATCTGAGTACATGACATACTACTAACATCACATTGTTTCTTTTACAAGCTGCCGCAATAGCACAACAGTCATCAGCTGAAATCTAGTATGAAAGAAATATTGATACTGTATTCATTTCTTAGGAACTCATTTGAATATTCACACTCTACATTCTTATTAGTTCAGATGACAGATAATCCACACAATTGATGCAAATATCTGAATTAACTGTCCCTGCCCTGTAGAATCATTAATTCTACTTCTAGCATATTATGTAAATGTTAAGGCTACACAAATATATACAAGACATATTCATACTTACTGCCATTGGTTTTTCAAGAAGAACATGATAACCCTTATCAGCACATGCCACAGATGGTGCCTGAAATGAGAAAAATGCTTGGCATGTTCCCTTATATGGTGATAGACATGTGTCCATAGGTGCCAACATGTGACAAATGGATGAAAGTATCACACAGAAATCCAAAATGGCCTCCATTATGATTGATAGTGTAAAACAAAATAACATGCCTTGTTTTTAATATGAATTTTATACTATGATTGAATGAGTTAGGGCATTTCTTGAGGGGGTCTAATAAATTTGGATAAAACACATCAGAAATCAGCATATATCACCATATATAAAGCCAGGATGACAAATACTTTGAATTCCACTCTGAGTACATTTACATATTTGTGAATATTTTTCACCTTGTGAAATTGATCTGGAGTGGTCACTATAACAGCATCTGCAAATTTGTCAACTTTGACAACATCTGACCAATCACAAAACACTCTGTCATCTGGAATGTTATGTATTTCCTGTAGTCTTTTTCTTCTAATTTCTAGTGGATCACAGACACCAACAATCTGCAAAATTAGAAAACATTTTTTAACTCAAATCATTCTTAATAAAAATGTTATTAGTAATCCAAATTATTTGTGACAATACGTTCTTGGAAGACAATGGTATACATGAAATCTAGCATAATGGATAAATAACACTACGGTAATGTTTCTGTACTGGTACATCGTGGAGAACCCCAGTTTAAGGTAGTTTGCTTGCTTTAAAAAACACTCAGAAATCCTGGAAATCCACTAAGAAGATCTGGGTTACTGTATTGTTCAAAATTCTAAAATAAAAATTTCCACAAAACAACCTCAAAAATGTGTGTTTTGAGTAGTTTACCAAAAATTTGTTTGGTGACATATGCTAAAAAAATTATGTACGTATAGTGTTATGAGTTACATATGGGAATTGGTGAATTTTGAATATTTTTGTCCATAGAATTATGTGTTTACCATCACACAGCAATTTTTAAATAACTCACTGTTATGATTTTTTGTTTCTATGCATGCTTTAATGGTAGTGTACTATCTTAAGTAATATTTGTACCACGACTGAATTAGCCAATGAGAGTTCTGCAATCTTTGTGATTATGTGATGTAAACTGATTATGGTATACAAGATATAAATCAAAATACAGACAATTTAGAATATGATTAAATTACCAACTTTATTCTGATCTCCAACTCGCCAACAAATAAATTGCTTCTTAGTTCCTCAATTTGTGATAGCTATGGTACAAGGTTAATAAAAAGTCACTTAATGTTTGCAGATCATAAATCACTTGCTTGTGGTTTATGTGACGACTATTTAACAAATACTATAAAAGCAACCTCACCTTGAGATATTGTGGGAAATCCTCAGCATATGTAGCATAACCCTGGCCCCTATTACCAGCACCAATTATAATTGCTTTAACTTGCTTCATTGTTTTTTCAGATGTTAATGAGGTTCAGTAATTATTCTGTAAACAAAAATAAAGACTAATATGATTAAATAGCATTTTATATGCATTGTTATAAAACTAATTCTTACATGAATACATGAGCTATTGTAATTCTTCCAATATTTGGAAATTAAACAAATTATTTTTGTTGTGTGGGTGAGTGATAAGAGTGGTTTTTGTCATGATTGCCAAAGGAGATAATTTCAACCAGAAGAAGTATGGAAAAATGTAACAAAGGAGTAACTAGTATTATTCCTATAATTATTAAAAAACAAGCAGCCTCTTGGCTGAGATACCTCCACTGTTAGCAAGGCACATTTCAATTAAAGAACTGAAGATATCATTAGAAAATGAACAATATGTATAGTATCAAAGCAATCAGACTTGCGGTTTTCAACAAAAAGTCGAAAATATCACTTTTTATCAAAAATGACAAAAATATTCATCAAAATTAGAGAATTAAAGATATCATTATGAAATGAACAAATCTAAGAGAGTGTCACACGCAACGTAATATTACCGTAATTGATATAGTACAGGTGTGATGGTTCAAATACCAAAATGGCAACAGTAACAGAAAAACTTCCCTGGCGGCGATGATAACATACGAACACGGAGCCAACAGATGAGGTTTCAACTGGTACTGGTATTATTATACTCTGCAAACATCAAGTACAATAACGCGGTAAAACTCCACTACTCCAATGACTTGATACTTAAACTCCAATACAATTCAACGAGATCTCCGATCTGAACTCAGTGCTGAACAATTCCCCTATATATATCCCCCCCCCCACTGTCTATAAATAGACCATTACATCAGCATACATAATGAGTCTGGAACTTACTACAAATTTCTAGAATGTTCCATTACCTTCTATTGCCTTCTACAGTGTTCTATTACCTATTCAACCAGTTTCTAAAAATTTAGAATATTCCACCCAGACACAGTACGATTCTAGAACATTCTCAGTGACACGGAAGTGGAAAACAAGTCGTATGTGACAGAGAGGTACATATACACCAAGAATCAAAGCATTCAGGCTTTTAGTTTTCAAGTCAAAAAAGTTAAAACATTGACACGGACAACAATGGGCGACTATGAACAATCACTCATATGATAGGCTCCACTCGACAAAGTCGACAGCGGAGCTAAAATGGAGAACTACAATCTGGACGTCAGCCATATTTTAATATTTACAGATATTATGATAAAACACATCAAATCCAAATTATTATTTTTAATAAGAATTATACTTTGAATTAATTGTTAAAAACATATAAAAATATTGTTGTATGCCACTTTTTGTTTGTTGTTGTATTCAAAATGATCTGCACAGCACAAGAAAATAACAATAAATATGAAGGAATTGTTGTGTTATGGCATGTTTCAGGATATTTTTCTTGGTTTATGCTAATCAAATTATCAACTTTTTTTCTCATCAGAATTTTTGTTTGCCATTCATTTTTTTAATAAACTCAATTACTATACACTATACACTCATATATGTACACATACTAGACAAGATATCCTTTCATTCAAATTCCAGTGAGCTCAATCAATCAATCAATCAATCAATCAATCGATGCTCTTGTCCTTGTTATATTTCCATAAAATGATCTGTGAACTAGGATGAATTCTCAAGTAATTGTTTGAAAAGTAAGTAGAAAGGAAGGTGGTTGTGACGCCATGGATGCGCAGGATATGGGCCTCATATCAAACTTTCAAACATACTGTTTAGAATCAATGTATGATAATAAGGAAGCAAAACATCAGAATGAACTTCACAAATACAGACATCTAAAAACAAAATTCACTTTTGAAAAATATTTAGAAATTGTGCAAAATCCCTTCCACAGGTCATCCATGACCAAACTGAAAATCAGTGCTCGTGTGTTAGAAATAGAAACTGGAAAACAATGACATTTCAAAAAAAAAATGTCAGTTTTGTCAATTAAATGAAATGGAAAATGAAGAGCACTTTCTACTTAAATGCAGTATTTATAAAAAGAAAGAAATGAGCTTCTCAAAAATGTGTTGCTACCTCACAAAACTTCTAACAAAGAAAAATAGTTGCAATACTAAACAATGGAAGTATAAAAGTACATACATGATTGTTTTAAAATTCGAGAGAACAACTTGAAGAGTAGTACCAGGTGCCTCAAAATAAATAAAAACATTTATATTCTATTAATAACTTTGTTTTATACTCTTTTAATTTAATTTAATTTTATCATTGCTATACCTTTATTGTATTTTATAGTCAAAGTTCCATAGAGAATATGATAACAATAAAGATGATTATTATACAAGGGGCGTTCAATAAGTAATACCCCTGACCCTCTTCCAGTTGTCTGATCTAGATGACGTTTTGCATGTGTAATGATTTACATCTCTTGGGTTATGTTGCAAAAAAACAGCTCTGAACTAATTGTGGTTTCTGATTTACAGGTGTTTGAACTGAGTCAGGTGTCAAATGGAGCCAGTTGAGTGTCGCGCAGAGACACAGTTTTTGTATTTGAAAGTATGCACACCAAAGGAGACTTTTGATGAAATGAAAGGAACTTATGGTGATGATGCCACATCATATGACCTTGTAAAACGCAGGCATCGTGAATTCAAACATGGCCGGAAGTCTGTGCAAACAGCTCCCAGACCTGGTCATCCCTCTTCTGCCATTGATGAGGCATCTGTCCATCAAGTTGAGGCAGCCATTTTGGGAGATCAACGCAGTACTGTTCGCCAAATAGCACAAGAGGTCAAGATTAGAACAGGGTCTGTGGAAACTATCATTCATGACCATTTGCATATGCATAAGGTGTCTGCCAGATGGATTTCCAAGTTGCGCACACCTTTCCAGAAGCAAGAATGAGTCAAGTGCTCGAGGATGTTTACACAAGATGGAAGACTGATTACACAAGATGAAACTTGGGTTCATCACTATGATCCAGAGACCAAAGCCCAGTCAATGCATTGGAAGCACTTGGACTCACCACCCCCAAAGTAAGCAAATAACACTGAATAAACAGCAAACCCCCAAAGAAGGCAAGGGTGCAGCCCTCCGCTGGCAAGGTCATGCTCACAGGCTTCTGGGACCAGGACGGAGTAGTGATGACAGATTTCCTTGCAAAGGGCTATGAAATCCTTCCCCATCCCCCTTACTCTCCAAACCTTGCATCCTCTGACTTTCATCTCTTCCCAGCCATGAAGTTGTTTTTGAAAGGAAAGCATTTCCCAGATGATGCAGCCTTGATTTTTGAAGTTACAACGTGGTTGGAGGATCAACCTGGGGTGTTCTACAAAAAACGGTGTCCAGAGCTGCATCAAACGATGAGAGAAATGCATAACTCTGGTTGGTTCATATGTAGAGAAAGACTAATAACTGTGCCAAGTTTCATTAATCTCCTGCTATGGGAAAAGGGTCACGGGCATTACTTATTGAACACCTCTCGTACATCTGCCACCGTAACGCCGTAAGTTACAGCGTGCCGTAATTTTGTGGTATTTTACGGAGTATTTTCATCCTACCATATTAGGAAATGCAAATTCCAAATATTGAATGATTATGCGCGTCAGGAATATGATTTTTTAACATTAAAATGATTGACATTTGTATCTGATCGTCAAACAAGTACTTGTCCATATTGAGAGATATTGCTCCGGAACAGCATTCAAAATCAGCCATTTTGAATACATGTATATATATAACAGGATGTATAACGAATATATAAAATTTGAATATAATCAGTCAAAGCATTTACGAGATATGGCTCTAGAAGCCCAATCATTAAAACAAAATGGCCGCCAGTCAGCCATTTTGAATCTAATCTGAAAACTAAAATGATGTGCATCAGGAACCCGTATTGTCTAATGTATGCACCAAGTTTGAACGAAATCCATCCAGAAATGCTTGAAATTTGATGATTTTTTAGCACAAAAATGACCACCATTCAGCCATTTTGAAAAGGATCGTCAAATCAATATATCTGTTTATCTATGACATGATGTATAATGAAATTTTAAAATTTGAACATAATCAGTCAAAACAAGTCGGAGATATGGGTCTAGAAGCCCATTCATTAAAACAAAATGGCCGCCAGACAGCCATATTGAATCTGATCTGAAAAATAAATGATGTGCATCTGGAACCTGTAATGTCTAATATACATTGTATGTACCAAGTTTGAACGAAATCCATCCATAAATGCCAGAAATGCTTTATATTTGATGATTTTTTAGCACGAAAATGGCCACCATTTGGCCATTTTGAATATGATTCGTCAAACCAATACATCTGTCTATCTATGACATGATGTATAATGAATATTTATAATTTAAACATAATCAGTGAAAGCAAGTCAGAGATATGGCACGAGAACCACATTCATTAAAACAAAATGGCCGCCAGTCGGCCATTTTGAATCTTATCGAAAAAACAAAATGATGTGCATCAAGGTCCTATAATGTCTTTCCGATTTTGTGACTCTAATCTTGTCTTTAGCAGACAAAAGCTTGAGAAAAATAAAATCAAAAAAGAAGAAAACATATGAAAAAGATGGAAAGAAAAGAATATGGTTCGATCATGAATGTTGGCTACTTCAAAAAGAATTCAAAAGTATTTCAAACCTTTTAAAAAAATATACCGGGGACCCATTTATTCGTGGAAAATTCTTCAAAGCGGAAAAAGACTACAAGAAACTGATCAAAAGAAGAAAAAGAGAAACTGCAGCATCACTGCTCTTTGAACTTAAAAACTCTGAAGATGAGCCATCAAAATTTTGGAAAATAATGTGCAAATGGGTAATGAAAATACACATAATGCTGATAACATCAATGATTCGGTAGCGCCTAATGAATGGTTATCCTATTTCAATAAATTACTAAATCCATCTTCTGAGCATAACATGAATAAGAGTGATTTATACAATGAAATAAACTCTGAAATATATCGATTAGAACACAATTTTGATAATAACACTGAACTTGACAGACCAATTCTAAAAAGCGAAATTATAAAACAAGGCGTCAGCGTAAGATGGGATCTCAAATGAAATAATAAAAAATGGCCACCCTTATCTGTTAAACACAGTACATAAATTGTTTAATATAATATATAACAAAAGCATATTTCCAGAATTCTGGAGTTCTGGTTTAATAGTTCCAATTTTTAAATCCGGTGCGAAATCAAACCCTGCAAACTATAGGGGCATAGCAATATCGAGCTGTCTCGGGAAACTTTTCTCAAGTATACTCAACGAAAGAATAACAGGATTTCTGGACAAAAACAACACCCTTTCTAATAACCAGTTTGGATTTTAAAAAGGCTGCCGCACAACCGATAACCTTGTCATTCTTAAAACAATAATCACAAAGTACCTGTACCATAGCGATCACACCAAAACAACAACGGAGTGTAACAATAAATCGCAAACTAAGAAACCAAAAAAATTATATGCATGTTTTGTCGATCTAAGGAAAGCGTTCGACAGTGTCTGGCATGAAGCCATGTTTCTAAAGCTACTAAAGTCTGGTATTACAGGCAAAATATATAGACTAAAAAAGACATGTATACGAACAACATTTCATCATGACTTGTCCATTTTACAATGACCAAAGAAAATCAATATTTGAGAAATGTAAGAAACAAATTAATAATTTTGATAATTTTACAATTGATGACAAATTTGCACTGACAATGAGTTATAATTTAACCTCATTACATATCACACTTAGACAATTCATTAAAACTGCTCTCATCTTAAGACAGAAACACCTCCAAGAATTTTAAACCTTAATGTATTAACGCATTATTATTGTTATTACTTTTTAACAATGGTTTCTTCTACTTTTATTGCTATTGATGAGATATATTACTATTCATGTTTTTTTATTTATTTTATTACGATTATTATTATTTTTTTAATAACTACTTTAGTCTTAGTGTTTTGTATTATTAGTCTAGTTTTGTTTACTGTAAATGTAACCATTTTAATTCTCTTTGGGGAATTTTATGTGTTTAATGAAAGTAAAGTAAACTATTAGCTGACTTTCAGCGAATCACTGATGGTGTAGTGATCCGTAGTTAATGCATTTGTTACCAAACTTTAATGGGGTATTTTTAGGTGATTGGAAGGTATTGAAGGAGTCGCCGGCAATAATTAGCGCAAGTCGTGCAAAGGTCGTACTTGTGATTTCTATTAGAAGAGCGCACTGGAAATTCAATGTTTACCATCACAAATGTGATCCCTTTAAGTTATACGGCGAATAAAAAGAATTTGTTTCTTTTGTTATAAATTTGCACAGAACATATCAAATCTGTAAATCTAAGCATTACAGACACGTTTACGCAAAACGGAACTTGGAATGTTTTCAAATTACGTCACCCAGTCGCGTTCCTTCCGGCCGGAAAACCGGCCCAAATGGAACAATATGGCGATTACTCGTTACCTCGTTGTGTCGTCACCGGAAGCGCTGTCCCAGCACAAACCAATCTCCTTCCCAGAGGCCTTTGCGCTTTACGCAATAGTGCCTCTGCCACAGGCAGCCTTCAATTCAATTCAATTCAATTTTTTCACTACGCACGGCCATTTTCTTGTACCTGTTACATCTGAAAACGTACTACAAAAAGTGGGGAAAAAACGTATGTCACATCCGAACTATTTATTAATGTCAGACCTCAGTAAAAACGTGAATACGAACCATTTTATCGCGGACTATGTTTTGCAAGGTAATGTTACTGTAGTGAAATGGCGCACGTGATACACTACTAAAACTTGGAAGAAAAAACGTTCTGTTATCGTATATACTGTAGTTGGGAAAGAAACATTAAAGACTAATTTCACTGAAAGGGGTTTCCTAACATTTCCGTTCATCTTGTATTCTGGTGAATATCTCAATACTATTTCTGGCTTGAACGGGTTCGATTTTGCGCGTCTAACAGTAATAGAACACACAGGTTCTAGTAAGTTTATAAAGTTAGTCATTTATAATAGAAACTAATGCTTTGGCATGTAGGAAAAGATTGTACTTTTCTAACGCAAGTCATGTATATTGTATTCTAATTAACAGAACATTTTATTCGGAGTCGGGGCGTGAAACGTCTTTTTAAGAGTTTAAAGTAACCAAGTATGTACGCATAACTTTGTTAACCGACAGGGTCTTGTAGTTCGAACATATTCGAATATGCAAATGAGTTCTATGCAAAGCTGCTTTGTGCAGTGATGATAAGTAACGCGTATCGAACTGTGCGGAGTTCAACTTGGCTGGTTCCCGCCTCAAGTGTCATGGCGTACCAAGTCACAAGAGGCCGGTAACTAGTAACGGTTCCGGCATTCTGATTGGTACATCACTTTCTCGTTGCTTGTTCCATTTCCCTTAGTTACCTGACGTCAGCGCTTACGCTCGTGGCCGTTCAGGGGTTTCCTTTTGCTTTCGAAAGTTGGGCCATGGAACTATAAATTTATAGTTCCATGGTTGGGCGAATAAAAAGAATTGTTTCTTTTGTTATAAATTTGCACAGAACATATCAAATCTGTAAATCTAAGCAGGCAGTATGTATGAGCATGGCTTTATTGTAGCATTACAGACACGTTTACGCAAAACGGAACTTGGAATGTTTTCAAATTACGTCACCCAGTCGCGTTCCTTCCGGCCTGAAAACCGGCCCAAATGGAACAATATGGCGATTACTAGTTACCTGCGTCCTACCTGCCATTCGCAAAGGACGCCGGGAACCAGCGAGAATGGCCAATCTGCATCGTCAAAGGGTCAAGCAGGTCAAAATTGGCCGCCAGTGGCGCTGTACTTCCAAAATGGCGGCGTCCAAAGCAAGGGTAAATTTTGTCGTAACCTTCTTACGAAACAGGATTACAGTAAGAAAATTGTGCCCTGTTACACGATTCGAAAAAGTCGTAAGTAACTTTCTGGTTTGTTTGAACCAAAAATATTATTGTAATATGCAGCAGACAATGTCTGGCGGGCAAACGCAGCTTTCATTGATTATCACATGTACAAGCCAAGTTATTCCCTGATGAACCGTTGCAATTTTGGGGCCAGTTTATTAGTCCGAAAACGGGGACTTATGTTTTGACCTCCGTGCTCCCGTGCGTGCGTCCGGACCTGTATCCTAGAAATGCCTGGACCAATCACAATCAAACTTCACACATACATCATATATGAAATTATACATAAACGTTTGTTTTACACGTTTCAAAACTCTATCAACTTAATAATAAACTGGTCTATGTAGTAACACTCAAAATATGTTTAAACATGTCTTGGAAATAAGGGTAGACCACATGGAGCCCAGGAACTATGATCAACTGTATGCAGTCTCTGAGGCGCGAGGGGTGGTATCGGCTGGTAAATAGACAAGGGATGAAGGCTTCAGCCAGCTCAATTTTTTATACTCTAAAAAACAGTCAAAAAGAATGAAAAATAAAACTTAAAAAAATACCAGGTTGAAGAATATTAGTTGCTTTTTCAAATTTCGCCAAAGCCTTACCTATATTTTCCTTATATCAGCAGAATAAATCAAGAAAACTACACAAATTGACTCCATTTCTGAATAACTAACGGTTGGCCTGAACGCACGGCACACTTGGAGGCGAAGAACCAATCACAAAACTGGTTCCGAAACAATTTAGCAAGGCTAACCGAGTTGTAACCTTGATGTGGTTTGTAACCAGTCTTATGATTGGTTGTTAACAAATTTTGAACAGGCCACGCCTCCAACTGTGCAGGGTCAGGGTTGAATTTACGAATTGTGGACCGTTGTCTGTTAGGAGTGTTTCTGGGATACCCCGACGTGCAAATGACTGTTTAATGTGCTTTATGACGATTTCTGAGCTTGTGTCTTCTAACATGTCGACTTCGAAAAAGCCTGAGTATGCATCCACTATTAACAAATAGTCTTTGCAATAGAAATAGAACAAATCACTGGCTGTTTGTTGCCATGGTCTAGTTGGTGTTTCTTGGGGTTTCAATGGCTCTTTCTGTTGTTTTCGTGAGTATTTCTGACAAACACCACATTTTTTTATTTTGTCGGTAAGATCGGACAGCATGCCTGGCCAAAATAACAAGCTTTTCGCTCGACGTTTGCACATTTCGATACCTAGATGTCCCTGATGAACAATATCTATCGGCCAGTGCAAGTTCAGGTGTACCCTTTGTGTTTCACAGAAGGTGATTTTTTTCTCCCTGAATTTGAGGCAAATATGGATAACTATATTATTAAAAGAAATACATTACATATATGAGATAATTTAATCAAATTTTATTCAGTGCAAACCATTGAACAAAAAAATTCAGGTTTGAGTATTCATATAAAACATTTTTTCTTTATTCGAAACATTTGACGTTATTAAGTACTTACTGTAAAGGGGGTAATTATTCACTGGGTTTTAATTTGGCTTATTTCGCTGACTGGCAAATGCGCTAAATTAAAACTCAGTGAATATGTAAAATTTAGCATAGAACACATTATCTAAATGACGAAACCGTGAATTTAAAACCCACTGAATATGCCTGAAATGGTAAATCAGTGAAATTTAAACCCAGTGAAAATTATTCATTTTACAGTATTTTGAAAAAAAAATTACCCAAAAAATGATTTTTTGAAATTTTACTCACAGCATGACATAATGCACCATTTGAAGACATAATGAAAACAGAGAATAACTGGTTAGGCATCATTACTGACAGCAGTCTTGAATCACAAAATACAATGATTTTTTTTAGAACACTTGCGCCAACTTTGCATGTCTTGTTGAAAATTTAACCTACTTACTACGGAGACTACATTATCACAAGACAATATATTTCAATTGTAACATTAAATTGACAAGTTTATCAAATTGTTTGTGGCCAAGTTATACATTTATGAAGATAATTAATGGAAATTGTATGTATGGAAATGTAAGCAAATTAACAATTTTAAGAAAAAATCAACACGTGTAGATGTTAACTGCCTGGTAGTTTTATATTGGGTTGGAAAAAGTTCAAACATTATCCTGCATTATAAATCCATTGTGGAAAAATATGTTATGACAGAGTGATGTTGAATACTTTCAGATTTTAAATTGCAGCAAAATTCTCATAGGAACCCTTTTAATGAGGTTGAATGTTATTGTG